GAAGTCATTCCAATGGGTACTATAGGACAGTAAACAGTAAAAGTTTGAAAGGGGAGTGATTAGTAAAATATGCATAAAAAGAAAGAATACTAACTATAGGTAACATAAGATAAGAATAAGCTAGTTTAAATGATTTGTTATTGGTTGTGATCATATTCTAAAGATGTTTGGATTATTGAAAAGTATACAGCTCTCTTTCATCTGAGTGTTGAGAGCTGTATCCATAAATTCATTTTGTGCTCAAAGTGCACCAGATTGATGCATTTAACTTCAACATTTCAAAAAAAATCTTCTCAGGGCTGCATGCCCCCGGACCCCCCTAGAGAAGGTGAGGTCCACCCCCAAATAATGCAGGATCAAATAATTAAATTGCATACATTTTCTTTTAGTAAACACTGAAAATGGGTCCCACAGACCCAAACAGCACACAAAGGTAAGTATATAATAATGTGTAATGAAACAAATACCAATAACTGTATTGCATTTTTTTCTTAGGTGTATGTGCAATTACTTCATACTGTTTTTGTCTTTTTCGTCCTGCATTTATTGTGCCCCCCTCAGAAAATAACTGGCCCCAGCCTGGCCCCCCCAGTCAAATTGGTCTAGAACCGCCACTGATGCGTTGTTGACCCTAGGCAGCTATAGGCCAATTGTCTTTCCTCCTTTTCTTTTTCTTTTCCCTTTCTTTATCGGAATTAAACAGCTTGTTGTCATAAAGTGCCAAACAAATAGAACAAGCAAGCCAACAAAACTAGTTCTCGGCTAAGTGTGCATAGTACATTTGTGTATGTTGGGAGGGGGAGGGGGATTTGGGGTGTCATGTGGTGGCTTTCTCACAGGGTGCGAATGTTTGTTACAAATCACGGTAAAGCAAGATTAGAAAACAAACACATTTATGATGGAAACAATTGTGAGCTGTGTGAAATTTAATGAATAAAGTTAATAGTAGTAATGGGTTACTGTTTGTGGATTTTATATATATATATATATGCTATTTAGCATGACACATGTCTCTTTGAAGAACACATTTTAATTGCAAAACATATAATCAATACAAAAATGACACAACTCTTCCTAAATGAACAGTAAACACATTCATTCTGGAATTTCATATTTGTTCTTAAAAAATATACCTATTTGGTGTTTTATACCTTCATTTGATGATATAGACTAGAGTGATTACACAAAGGACTATCAAAAATAATAAAGTGACCTTAATATTTTTCACACACATACAACATAATCAAATTCTTTATCAATGAAATGTTTGTTTACTAATGATACATACACTACTTATTGTTGGGGAAATATTTTCCTAGGCCCACACCTTTGACCCTGTTTATCAGTTTGTACTGCCCTCACTGCACAGGCCTGCAACCTTAGGTTCTGTGCTCTCAGTGTGTTGTCTCCTTATTCCTGCCTGTTGGCATCAGCTGACAGAGGTGTTATAGTGCTTTGCCTGTTTTATCTTGTTATGCACAAAGTTAATTATTCTCTCAGAACCAGCTAAATACATGGGTCTGACATGGAGATCTTCAGAATTGGTTCGGCTACTGCTGTGTCACCTCGTGGCTGCAGCACATATCTTGTCAGTTCTCTGGACGTTAACTTCATAATAAACCTTCAGTGTTTGCCATCAAAGCTCCAGCTCTCCCTGTGTCTCTCAAAGTTTCGTCTCCATTAATCCAGAAGTTTCCATCACACTTATTCGTTTTTCAGGTATGAAAAAACGAGTATAGCGTTTAGCAAAAAATGTATGAATTGTGCATATCATATAAAACAGTGAATGCTATTTTGGAAAGATGGATGAATTTGTGGGAACAATGGAGACCACCTGGTAGTTGAAAACTCTAACCCTTCATATCCATTCTCACAGACTGTCTGACTATTGCACTTGCAGACAAACATGTCCCGCCACGCCTTGCCTCTGAGAATCTGGCTTGTTCAATTTATATTATCCTGTGTGGGACTCTTAAACACAGCACATTTATTAAAATATTATTTTTAAGAAAGATATATAGGTTGCGATTATTTTTAAAAAAACACTTGCTTGTTTATTCTTTTATGAATCAAAAACATACTACCAACACTTATATGCCCGGCAACTCTAATAATTGGCCTTTGTTTGCACTTGTTCAGGGTTGTGATTTTTCATCAGATGCGGAGATTGATCTTCTTCTGAAACACAAAATACATGTTTGGGTTGAAATAAAACTTTTGTTTAAATGTTTAGATTAAATCCAAATGAAGGGCCATTACCTTGGGTGTTCCACCTCTTCAATGGTCTCTGGTAAACGGATGTTTTGTGTCTCAGGAAGAAGATAACATGTCAGCCCTCCAGTGAACGCCACCAGAGAGAATATGGTACTCGGTAAATGGCCCCACACTTCTTCAAGGAGGATGATGAGGGGAGAAATAGACACGCCTATACGGCCCATGAACGAGCTGTACCCCAATCCATTTTGTCTGTATAAGCAAAAATACAGGTTCAGTATCGAGATGTCTGTAACTTCTAGTTTTTCTACTTTTGAGTTTAGATGCTGTTGTAAATGTGCATAGTATAAGCTCTATATAAGATAGTTTATTCACCTCATTACTGTGGGGTAAAGCTCTGTTGTGTACAGATATACACATGTGAAAGATGCCTCTGCAAACATCTTGCCCAAAGCTCCCACAGCTGTCCGAAAGAGCCCCATATCTGAAAAATAAAATAGTCATAGAACATTTTGACCCCACCTGTTATTGTATTTAATGTGTAGTATTTGACTAAATGTGAACCATAGTGGCCATTTTTACTATCAGCTTATCAGAAATCAAGTAGTTAATTAGTCTTTACCATCATCCTACCAACATAAACCATAAATAAGAAGAACCATACAAAAAACAGCCTAGTAAAATCTTGACTTGTTTTTCTTTCTTAAAACTATATTAGATAGGTAATCAGTCTGCTCTGATATATTTGTATTTCTATCTCTATATCTATCACATTATGAAATAACAGAAGTCCTGCAGCTCATTTAAAGGCACAGTTTCTGATTATGGGTATGTGAGCATATATCCGTTGATTGAGAATTTCAATACTTTCAGAGCATTTATATAGGCCTTAGATCTGCTTCAAGTAATTACAAATAATCGTTAATCTCTCTTTTTACTATATAGGATCTTTAAAGTGTAGCTTTGTTGTTGTCTATTATTGTTGAAGTAGCTATGGTAGTCACACTGTTGATCATTTACCTTGAGGGACAAACATGTTGCAAAATATACACAGTCCAGTCAGAACAAGCGCTCCACCCTGACTCGACCTTCGGCCTACTTTGTTCATAGCAAAATAGATTAATGCTTTGGCTGGAAGTTCAATCAAGCCGTAGATCAACTGTGTGATATAGATGTTCAAACCAAATCCAGAGACATTGAAAATGATTCCGTAATACGTGCTGGCCACTCCAAACCTGTCAACAGAGAGCAAATTATATCAAAATACAATTTGAGTTACACATTTGCCATAGAAAAAATATATTTAAATAGTGCTTTGTTTTACATAACCACTGGCACTGCAAGTCATACGATTAGATATTCTTTATTGTCACAGTAGGGACATTTGTTAAGGTCTCCGTTGTGCAGTTCCACAAAAGATAAAAATCCTAAACTGCACAAAAAAACCATCAGATGCTTCCATACATACACAGTTTGCCCATACACATACAGTATACACATACACCTACTGACAAAGGTGACTTATTGCACAACCCTCAAGGCCAACATTTAAATCCACATTACACTTCAGATAGGTGTTGCAGCTAAATGGAAACCTGCATCTTCCACTAGAAGCTAATTGCTGAAACTGTGTGGAGAATCTGGTCTGGATCAGACACTTTTATTTGTGCCTCTCTAATAATGGACTGTTCATAGATTGTTTGGGGAGCTGAATGTTTTTTAAACCCCTTAAGTGTTATAGCACTCTGTACTGCAATAATGAAGCTAAAACGTGTACAAAACAAGTACACCAAAGAGGCTGCAGAAATTGAGAGGCCCAGACAGAAAAATGATATCGCAAGTCGAGAATTTGCAAAACGAGTAGTAGTGCCTTGCCAGAAATAAAGCTATTAGGGAGTTTGCAGGTCAATGATGTAGGCAGGAACCAGACCATTGAAGGCCTCATAAACAAGCTGTAAAATCTTTAAATCAACTATAAAACTAACAGGAAACCGGCAGCAAAGCATAAGTTTGATGTGGACACTTCTCTAAGGAAGCCTGGAAATGCTTTGTATCAACTGCAATCTTTGAATGTTTTGTCTCGCTGGCTTTACAGTCAATATCACTTCCAGGGTTAGTTAGCAAGGTCATTTCATATATCCCTGCAACACAATACATGGGTGTCTTTGACATAACAGGGACTTTGTAAATGCTTCATATTCTGTTGAAAATGTTTGCTCATTTTTTAATTTTTTTAAATGTAATTCATGGGCAATATCTTACACACTGCACCTTTAAAGACAAAAACAAAGACATTTATGTACCAGACAATGGCAGTGAGTATAGCCAGTCTCCTCATTCTGGGGGTCCTCACAAGGTCCAAATAGGAATATTTTCTGTTTTCATTTTCCACAAGTATTACATTCGACAGACTCTGCAGAGAAAAAATTACATTTTGGTCAGCATTGTAGTTGTAGAGTGAATATATTTCTGATTAGAAGTAATCAGATCATGTAAAATCTTGTACCTCAGGCTTTAAGTCAGCCATGAACTGCTTTCTGCCGTTCACTTTTGCACACTTTCTCAAGTAAAAATGAGCAGCTTTTACCTTTCCATTACTTATCAGCCATCTGGCAGACTCAGGGAGCCACCTGCATTAAAATGTTAATTCAAAAAATCACTGATTTAAAAAATAATTTTCAGACAAACTGCGTATGAGTAACATGCCCCTCTCATCAAAACATAGCAGCCATGCTGGTATTCAGATGCTCAAAATGCTGAAAATGATCTTAACATTTTTATATGGTTCTGACCTAACTTCCTGGTATTAGAGCAGCTTTGTCTTGGAGACATTAAAAGGCAATAAATATGCTTCTTTTCGCTGATGGTTAAATTATTGTGTTATCCTTACCACCAAGAAATCATTGCCAGAATCAGCGGGGAGGTTGCTGTGGCAGTGAGGACCCTCCAGTCATTCACAAAATAGGCCACAACAGGAAGCAGAGCCGTAAAAATGCTCCAGTCCAGACTCATTAAGACGCCAACTTTAGTTCGATGCTTGATGTCCACCCATTCAATACCTATCAAAAGCAATGATAATACATCAAATCAATCAAATACATCTAGACACAATAACATTAAATCAAGATACATTTATTCTTATTTTTATTTTTGTTTTCTGAAATGTACAATTCAGACATTTGATTTCACAGATACTATGAGATTAAACTCACAAAGGACGATGCTGGTTATACTTATTCCGGCAATTCCAAATCCTGTCAGGAACCTCATGACAGCAAACATGATGAAATTATATGACAGAGCGCTTGTAAATCCGAAGAGACTCGTTGTCACATAGGACACCAGAAGAGAGTTTTTCCTGCCAAACCTGTGGTACAAAAAGATTATGAATAAATCTGTAGAATTGCTAAAACACACAAATATTTGTTTACACAAACAACTAACAACAGACAAACATTCCTTCTTCCTCATCTCTGGTAATGTGTGGGTGAGGGTTAATATTATGGTTGGCATTAAGGTTTAGATTAGGTCAGGAGTTGAATGGCATGTCATTAAACCTCGGGGGATCAACACCAATCTCCCGGGTTGAGGTCACTGAGGTTGTCAAACAACTCCACAGTGGCAAAGCCCCGGGGGTGGA